CTCGATCCGAGCGATGGATTCTATTGAGATATTTCCCGATCCTGATTTCCAAAAGGGTTTAACCGACTCTCTTTCATTCTTTGTTCTACAATCGTGGGAATTTTTAACATTATTTCAATCCACATTACAAACGATAGTGAGTTTCAACTTGTCGAAACCTGTGGTTCTTTTTCCCAGAACTTGTTCACGCGAATTTCAATCAATTCGTCATTTATAATGTGCATCCATACTTATATACAATTAAATATCAAACTTCTACTCAAGGGGGTACAAATGTTTTAAAAGTTAATTTATACTTACGTATGGAACCCCGGGGGAACATGAGGGATGCAGATTATAAATGAGGGGAGACTGCGGAACGTCGTATCGACGAGACGGAGTCAACTATGAAACTGGATAATAACAAACCCGGAGATTACTCCAAATTCTGCGGGGAAGAATGCAAACGCCATTTCAGAGCAAGATGGCCATCGATTCCCAGGTGAAGTGGCAATACATCGCGAACAGTTCAAAAGTTTTTCTCGGGTTTGGCGGGGAGTTAATGATGGTATCAAGATGACTTGCAAGGGGGTTTCGACCTCAGTTTATTGTTAAAACTTGTATTATTGTATTAGAACACGTTTTTTATACATACCAAACAAATTGTTATGACAAAAAATATATTTGCTTTGAGAATTTTTTAAATGTTAATACCTGTTTACAAACCTTAAAATCATCCACATTATATTTATTCGTCAAAGAATTAAACTTCCAAAAATAAAAAGAACCGATTCAATTAGTTGGTATATTTTTTTTATATAAAATAACAAAAGTTAGTTAGCAAGTTAAAATCTTTTTAGAAGCAAACAGAGCTCCTGACAAAATCAAATTTGTGTTATAAACAAAACAGAAAATCAATGAAACACAAAAGTTTTGTTGAGATCTTTTCATATCGTGTGATCACAATTATTCATTGTATAATATATATGAACGTTATATTTTATATTGAAACAAAAGATACATCATGAATAGAGACTCGTGGTGAGGGGTTCACGTAGTTCAGTAGGGGAGGGGAGGGTAGGAGGATAGGTCCAGGGCAGCCACAGTGGTCATCCTCACTTTCTTAGCCTTATAAAAGCAATCCCGTGTCGCTCGGATTAGGTCCTATGTGCTCTTTATTTGAGTATTATTATCGATTATCGGCACAAGGGCATGTGCAGGGGGGGAGAGTGATTAAGCCTCAGTCTTCGCGCTCGGCTTTGCCTCCAACAATTAGACAGATCCCCCCGTCCCATCCGATTCCCCTTCGATCGATCGATTAAATATTCAGACCTTCGTAGTCTGACGTCCTATACAGTTCGTATGATGGATATTCAGAAATGATCAAATCCTTGAGTCCCCCTCCCCCGCCTCCGCAACACAATGCTAGCTCTTCTCTTTATCTCGCCGAGTTCTGTTCCCAATCCGTTCCGACCGCTTTTCCATCACCCCTTAAGTCACTCCGCGTTACGTGTCTTTGGTTCGTTAGGGTAAAAGTGTTCTCGATTTCCGCGTATCCCTTTTAATAAGATTAAGAACTTTGTTATGCCCTCGTACGCATCGGTATTGAGTCTTTTGTTTTCTAATTGATATGTCGTGTTGCTAAAGGGGGTTTAAAGTATCTCTTAAAAATAGTTTTTTAAAATAAACAATTACTTTTACCGACGAATGTGTTGACACTTTGTTCATTAAAAACTCAAATTACTGTTACAAAGAATAATAGGTATGTACAATGTACGCAAATTTATTTTCAACGTCACCACCAAATTTTTTATAAGATCTAATATTATCTTACTCCCCAAAACAGAAAATAGCCGCATGAGAACATGGAGTGTGTGGTGGTGACGTGTGCGGGTGATACACCCCCGAGCTCACTTTATCTGAGTAACACTTATCTAGGGGATGGTCTGCAACACTAAACTGACTTGGTGCTATACCATCTGCAGTTCAAAGGCCACATTTTTCACTTCAATAATCACGAAATATTGTCACTATAAACAATTTGTCTTATAAATTACTAGGAACAATTAGTTACAATTTTCAAATGTCTTGATTGTGAGAAAATCTCTTTCTTCATGACCTGATGACGGATCGGATTCTAGACCCAGAAACGTCGTGAAAACTTTTTTTGTGACGTAAATTTCTGCAATCCCTTAAATAGCATAAACAACCATAAAAAAGTATTTCAAACAAATACTACTACATACGCGATTGTAAGGATATAACCTCTAACCCGCATTTGTATTTTAAGAAAGATCATAAAGGAGGCAACTCAAAGATTTAAGTTAAAAATTCGTCCTTGGGGCCACTACTCACATGGTGAAGTTGAAATTTTTGAGCATAAAATCGTCAAAGATGTCACGAATTGGAACTTTCACCAGGGCGGTACTCCATACATGACCGACCCCTACCTAGGATTTAGCCCGGTTAATAATGCGACTCGAGTCAATGGCTGAACTCGTAAGGTGACTGCCCATGATCATTAATAATGAAACAAAAATGTAATGCTAGGATGGCAGAGGATAGCACGCGAACCCAGCTGTCCGTGCTAGCCAATTAACGTCCACTTCCTTCTTCAAATCCACAATCATTCTAATTTTAATTACTGTTCGATGAATTCATAGATTGGTAGGAGCGAATTTTTCAACCAGATCCGACAGTGGAGACTGATTCCTTCTGTCAATTTGTATAATTTCATTTTCAATGATTGCTGAACTGTAAGAAATTTACAAGAATTGAATGTTACTAAAATATCTCTTTTAACACTACTCGATATATTTACCCTTGTACTTACAAGATTTATTGGTAAAAATATAAAAGATGTTACAATGACAATCGATTTCGAATATTCATCTGACCATTGGCAGTTATAATTTCGCAACTAAACATTTTTAACTGTATTAATATTTCGTCTTCTGGAAAATGAATAATCAGATAATAGGCCTACTATTAAAAGGTTGGTTTTCTTCAAAAGTAATTTATATGTTCGCTAAAAAATAAGAAATATTCATTACAAAATGTTGATTAAATTGATTGAGCAGTAAAACTTATAGCGTATATTTTACAGTGTCATTAAATGTGCCAGCATGATTTTGACTCTAATCGCAATCGATATAATTGCTTTAAATTTCTCTTTATACTTGTACTTAATAATAATAAATATAACGTAAATACCAATAACTTAATTATTAATACTTAATTTATACTTAACCTGATAAATTGAATATTAAACTTTTATCATTATATATTTAATCATTATCGGTTTTTAACCCTGTGAGTAGAATTGTATTGGATTAATATTTCAGTAAACTCTCCTTTAGTAGCTTCACAATCAAAAACAATAGAATACACTGTTATAACCGAACAATTTTATTTTATTTCCTCTCACCATCAAACCAAAAATAAAAATCGAATTCATAAATATTATTTTATTCCACCACATCAATTTATAGAATTTTTTATTCCACAAAACATAATTCTTAACTTAGTAAATATACAGAATGCAGATCGCTAAAACAGCCTATTAGTCCTGCGGCAAAAGCCGAATTTGTCAAGACAAAAGTAGACGGCACTCTATAATCGAAGTCTTTGTTTGATTTTCATTATGTCTGGAAAGACTTGGGGAGTTGATCAGCTGATTGTTTTGCCGCGTCGATCTTCACTAACTAATCGTCTGATATTCACCATTATAATTACCGCTCTTCTCGATCTCTTAAATTATTTCCCTTATTCGATCGTTAATGTTCACTTCAATTCCATTCCAAATTTGTCAAACGTCCACTTAAGTATTTTACATTTATCAATTGCTTTCAATTGATAATTTTATTTTGAACAGTTTGTTCTAACATTACAGCAGTTTAAAGCTAAAAAAATAAATATTTGCTCTACATGATGGAAATTAAAGTTTTAAAAATAATAATAAATGAACTCGATTTGCTCGGATTTTTATCTAAATAAAAAATTTAAATAACAAGCAAATTCATGCCTTTTTGACTTTGGATATCATTTAACGAGTTGAAATTTGACAAGTGTTTATATTCTTTCATACGTCTTACAGATAAAATATCCCTTAAGAAACCGGGCATTTCTAAGTAATTAAAAAACATAATTTAAAACCTCTTGCGATTTCTTTGACGAATTAAGTTTCGAGTCAGTAATGAAGGTATCAGAAATGTTTATTGTTGCTCCGAATCCTCGCTTGGGACCCGTTCCCGAATATGCGCGAGGTCTTAAAAATAATTTGCATCAAGTAACCGTGAAATATTTTCTCCTAATTGCTGCAATTGGTGTCTTGGGACGCCTCGTCCCTATAGTTTGGTCTTGACGAACCTCCTCCCCCCCAAAACACCCCATCTACCCCCCTAAAATACTGACTGAGGGTGTAGATTGGGGCTGAACGAGAGCTGACAAAAACAATCACAATAGAAAACAATGTCAAGATTTTTATTTTTATATTTTTCAATTTAGTACTAAATTTTCACAAGTGTATAGTTGAATCAATAATATTTGTTTTGGGAATTATTATTTTCAAGATAAATTTGTCAAAAAATTACAATATTTAGTTAAGAGTCCCCTTTGTAGAGTTTTCATTAAAGGCAAAATAGGAACTTTCGTGGTTGAATAAACGTTGAATGTATTTTATATGGTGCTTAAGACATTTCTTTGACTAATTAATTATGTAAAATATTATTTTATACTAGAACACATTCGGATTTTTACTCTTCTTCTATATGTGTTCCATTCACATTCATCATGTGTCCATCATCTGCATGTTTTCACATATTTTTTTTTCAATCTGTTAAGATAAACCCCACCTGAGAGTAAAAAAATTAAAACTAAATTAATGATTGAAAATAATTAGTGACATATTGAAAAACATATTTACCGACCGACCGTAGCTTCTATTGACAATGTACAGTACATTAAACATATATTTAAAACAACCACAGTAATTTTCAAGCTAATAAATACTCTTTTTTCAGATTTCCCAATTAATCGAAGATGTACAAAGACTGCAGTCAAGTATCAGCAAACTACAAGAGAGTTCTGCAAACCAAATAGCAAGACTAGAGGAAGAGTTAGACCATAAGAGGCAGCACATTTCAAGGCTGGAAGCAAGATTGGATGCCCAAAGAGACTATGAGGAACTGAAGCGTCAGCTAAGGTAAAACATGTTCCAGTTCAACAATAATAACAGTGTTAATAGTACATTCAATTGTTTATTTCCCAAAAATTGAGGAATATCCAATCTGCGGATGTGTTAGGGGATAATATTGGGGGAGGGTGCAGAGAAAACTTTGTTTCTGAGCTATGGTTCCATTTTAAGTGACGATTGCAAGATATTCTGTTCTGACTTATTTTATTTTTCTTCGGTCAGATTTATTTTACTAAAATATTGTTTAACTGATTTGCTAAGCAGTATTGTATGTAAAATAAATAAACCTAACCACAGAAAATAATTTACTTGTTGGTAGGTTTTAACTGAACGCCAACAATACCAATGAGTTATTCTGTGATTTCAGTTTCTTGAAGTCAATAGAACTACCCCCCAACAGTGATGGGGATGTGAAGACTTTGGAAAGTTTGCTCTTAGAGAGGACCAAGACAGGCCAGCATTCTGAGAGCAACAAGGCACCCCCATGTTCAACCCCTTCTGATATTCATGGTGAGTTTGTCATCATCATTATCCAGGGCGAAAAATTAGGTCCTAATGATAAGCTCTAGCTATACTCTTAAAAAAATATGTTTTATAAGTAATATCTAAAGATTTTTTTCTTGAGAATGTGGAGGAAAATAGTATAAACAATTCCCTAAGGAGTACATGATTTAGTATTTCTTAAATATTTGGAAAATAATTCTGAATATTTCTGACTAACGCATCTGCTCTTGTACTAATAAGTTACACACTAATTACTTGTATTGTACACTTCACCACTAATACACACAATTTAACTTTTCTTAATTCCTCACTGTCTAACCTAATCTTGTGGGAAGTAAGTGAAGGACGTGCTTATGGGATTTTAAAGTTTATTCAACTTTGGCGATCACTTCTCAGTTATTAGTCTCAAGCTTGAGATATATATCTGCTGCTGATAGTTCCCAGTACACATATCTTTATGAGAACACTTTTAATAAATACTATAGATGAAATTTTTGTCTATACATTTCAAATTTTTGGGGATGTGACTGTTGTGGATCCTTGGCTGGTTTACTTACTGTTGCATGTTTTGGCTAGGCTCTACAGACATGAATACAGAGTCCAGTGCATCCCAGCTATTCCCTGCACCTGCACCCCCTCCACCCCAGCCACCTCTTCAGAATGTCGAGACGTTCGGTTCATTCTAGGAGAAGAGATTGTGGCCAACTGGAGACGGTCTCTAGAACGGACTATTCTCAGTCAAGGTTCTCTTCCACATCACCTGGCTAGGGCCGGACTGCCACCCCCAGAGGGAAGGTCATCCGTTGGTGGTCCTCTCGCTTCTTCTCCGATCAACGCCTCTCCTCCACCTTCTCACACACCGACCTCTAACCCCGACGATGCTGGTAAATGTCTTTTTCTTCGTGTTTTCTTGTTAGTATCTTATTTACTTTCCTACTTTTTGCTTTGCTCTTTTATGTTTTCTTCAATACTGGTGTGTTAGATTTATTCGTTGTAAACAGTACTTTATCAGAGACATCACATTAAAGCTACATATATTGGTTGGTGGTTTGTCTAAGCATTAAATTTGTGGGTTCGCTTTCAAACACATTGCTTCTTTGAGCGCACATTTTATTGATGCTGATTTTTGGTGTTTGGTGCAGGCAAATTGAGGTTTGAGGAGCAAGAGAGAGAACGAGAGCGGGAGAGAGACAAGGAGAGTGCTGAGAGAGAGCATGAGCCTGCAGTCACTTCCTCCTCTGGTAGCCATCGACCTTCCAGCTCACCTGCAGTATCGGGTGACGTTCAAACTCAACGGCAGCTCTACACCTTGCAAGAGTCCAGCGGCAGAGTCCGATGGCTTCAACAACAACTCTCCCCACCTCAATAACAACAACAACATGCCCGGAAGTCTAGTCAATGGTTTTTGTGGTCTCAGTGTTGGCCTGAACAATAATGTTCTTCATCCCTCGTCGCAACTGAACTTCAATGACGTCATGAAGAGTCCCTTTCGATTCGATGACCGTTCTCCTTTCCGATTTGGCAATGACGAACCGGGATCGATAGTGAGCCGGTTTGGTGAATCGTTGATCCCAAAAAGTGATCCGATGGAAGCACGCCTACAAGAAATGTTGCGGTATAATATGGACAAATACTCTACCCAGAATCTGGACACACTACATATCGCCCGAAGAGTGCGAGAGTTGTTATCTATTCACAATGTTGGCCAGC